TGGTATCGTACTACAGAAAAGCAGCAGATAATCGCAGCGAATCAATTTGAACCTATTCAGAAGATTAAAGGAAGAAGAAAGCACCGGTACAAGTCGGCAGATTATTTTCAGAACACTTCCTCAGGATGGACTTCATCAACTACAGTTTCTTCCGATGTCGCACAGACGAGAGGCAAGAGTTCGGACTTCAACCACGCGGCAGGCAATCGCGATTCCTTGATCTTCTACGACTACGACAGCAAAGATGAAGAGGCTCATCGAAATGGAAGAACGGGTTTGAATAAAAACGGAAAGTCTCCGAATATAACAGAGCTGACTGAATTACGTTCTAGAATTGAAAAAAGATTAGCCGGCGAATTGGATTATCCTGCGAGCCGAGGATTCTTCTCTCGACGCAGTTGCGAAAATCGAGATGAGACACAAAAGCTCAATGCTGCTCTTCAAGATATTGTAAGACGTAATGTTAGGTTTCGTACCGTTGAAGATAATCTCAATTCGCATGTGCGAGAGAAGAAACGAGATAAGCAAGATAATCTGAAGAACTTCACCGTTATAAAGCTTAAAAACGACAAAGACATTTATTCGCGAAATTATGAAATTACATCGGTGTCGGTCGGTACTTCGCCTGCAGGTCCGACAAAAATTCCACCGTTACGAACGGACCTTTCCGGATCGGTGCGCGAAAAATTGGAAATAGATCGGAGATCGGAAAAGACATTCGGTGGGCGAATGGAGGCCGAGATCGACAGAATCGCGGTGGTGCGAAAAATCGCGGTGAACGTGTCGGAGAACGCAAGAACCGCCAATGTGAGCGCAAACGATTTGTCGGATCGCGGCGCAGAACCACAGGAAAAATCATTCATGGGTAGGATATTACTGACTTGCGTAAGAAGTCTCGGATACCAGGACAAGAGTCGTGAAACGGATACTGTCATTCGCGGTGTGAAATTGATGATACCGGACGATAAGGGCGAGTCGCGTGAGCTCGACGTCGCGGCTAAAAGTGTCGACAAAAAGATCTCACCGCTGTTCTCCAACGATCTCGCACGACAACGGAGACACGAGGACACGAGGAAGATTAATGAAAATCTTGCAGATTCCCGAGTAAGTCGCGTTTCCGCTGAGAAACAATACCTTCAACGTCCTCGAGGCAAAGTGCATGACATTGTCCGTAAAATAATCAATAAGATCAAAAGGAAGTCATCATCAGTATCGGATAAGGCAAACACCGAGAAGAGTCTCGTGGAAAGTGAGAAACGTGCCGCTCGATTGGATTGGCATCGATCGAGTAGACGACTATTGTCGAGTGGAGGATCTGATTATATCGAGAATATCAACGACGTCGATGACGAATATTACGCGAACGATGAAAGCGAAACAGACCGAGAGAATGACTCAAGTGATAATGAAGCTATTGCTAGGAGGGATGATTTATTGTATCTCGAGAATCTGCCTGGCCGGGGCGAGAATCGAGATCCACGGAAATTGGTGGCCCAGACGGATCGATTGGCGGACGGGAATGGATGTTACACGACCTATGATGCCGGAGGAAAGAACAGTTGCTGTCTATGATGTAGCGATGCTCTCTGACGATATGCAGGCGAATAACGAAGAGGCAATCTCAAGGTTATTAATAGTAGATATTAATTTTGATATAGCCGGGATTCTCATTGATGCAAAATTCCTGTTATGTAATACTTTATACTGAAGAAAAATTACTAAATCTTAATATTTCTTTCTTATATATTTCTTTGAGTAATATTAAGTAAGCATTTACTTACGGTAAATAAATATTTACTCAATAAAAAAATAGTCAAGTCAAATTACTGGTTTTTGTATCAAATAAATATAAATATGTTTACGTATAGTAAATATTTATTCAGAATTACTCAAATTAATATTTATTAAAAGTTAATATTTATTTCAATGTACACGTATAGATTAATTAATAATCCTTTTTTTATTTGTATGGAAACGAGTTATCTGTGTATAATTTTTTATAACTTCGTATGAATTTTCAAAAGCTGATTACATATTGATATTATTCGTACATTTGACAAGTACTACTGATTATTAATGCTTTCTAGTAATATTAAAATTATTTGACGAGAACATGGAAAAACAACGTAAAAAATTGAGGAAAATTTATGTCATTATTAAAAAAATTCATGATAATTATTAATAAGCAGTGCAGCGTAGCAAGCTATGTTATAATTTCACTGTTGGTCTGGCCGTCCGATTGTCCATCTGTAAAATTTCTCAAAAATGACTTAACTTTTTCAAATTCTGTTGTCGGCAATAGATACTCCAGGACCTTAACATCCAAGGCAAAATATGAGTCAAATTAGTTGACTGTAAACGGAGTGAGATTTTGAATAGGTATAGAATCAATCAAACACAACTTGATCAAATACTGATTTTTCGGTGCACTACTTTGTTACGTCCGTTGCAACAATTTTTATTTTAAGTAATATAAAGATTCAATACAAAAATAATACCTATTTATAATAACTACATATAATTATGGCATATATATTATTAATATGTATTATTAATATATAATTAATATAATATAATATATACATAATAAAGTCTATACATAATAAAGCCATTAATTAATATTGCTATTAATTATGATAGTAATTACAGGAATAACAAAAAGAAAGTTAAGAATAAGAATACAAACTCTTCGAAAAGACCGCGTGATATCAAAGTTGTTCCCGAATCATCTGATCCTGCAAACTTTAACGACGATAAAATGCTAGAAGTTCCTCTCGAAGCAGAAGAAAAATCTATTATCCAAAGAACTATCAATAATGATAACTCAGTACAAGAAAAAAGTTTTGATAATTCTAAAAATATTTTAAGAAATTCTCGCTCTTACGAAGAGATTAACGAGGAGTCTTTTCCGTTCCCTAAGAATATTAATGAAAATTATTTACGAGATGAATCTTTTTACGGAACTCAGCCAATATTTAATATAAGAGAAATTATAAACTCCCCTACTGTAAATAATCACAATCTATCTATTGTAAATAATTACAATCTATCGAATGCTGGAAAAATATCAAACGATTCATTACAAGATTCGGCAGTGTCACAAAACGAAGGAATCAAAATTTCGTTAATGGGGAAGATTCAGATACACGGTTTCAATCAAACGCCGATGTTGATAAGCTTTGATGCCATTCCCGATGGATTTTCAGCTACACAGGCCTCAGTTTCCACAGGATTGTCGAACACTATCAGGGCGATTGAAACTACCGTCATTAATCTCCTTCTGAATGATTCAAACGTGGAATCTCAAACGTTTGATCTCTTGTCTATAAGCGAACGTGCAAATGACGAAGCGAGTGATTCACTAAATACGATAACGGACGAAAGTCAGGAAGTTGGAAAGACGAATGTGAACCAAGTTCCGATAAAGTCTCCCGAGAAGTTTTTCGATCTGATGGAAAGAAGTGAAGAGGAACGAAAGTTGGTAAAAAAAAATCCCTCCCGCATCGAGAAGCGATTGGATAAGCATAACGCGAACTCGAGATCGCCCAAGCAGGTTTTTCTAACGGATTACTCGATCGAATCGAACGGGAAAGTGGACAGAACGAACGGAACGGTGATTTCCGGGCGAATTGGCGGGGCAACCGACAAATTGGATTCTCGTTCATCCGCGAATCCGGTGTATTTTCCGGATATTTTGGGATCTGTCTTGGTCAACAACGATAGTTTAAAAGATCAGGATAGAAAAGAACCTCGACATCGAATCGACGTTCCTACGATCGAAACGAACCAATCCAAGCCGACTGACCCAAATATTACTCTGCACGTCGTACCATTGCTGCACATCGGTTTCGAAAAGCCGAACGCCGATTTAACAAATGATGGGAAAACCGAGACGGTGTGTTGTCCTTGCGAGGACTCGTGGAATGCTAGTTTCGGTTGTTACAAAATGCCCACAACTGTTCGGAAACTTGAAATTACAGAGACGATTTCGCCCGAGTTGCAAACTTGGAGTAATTATCGAGACGATGATCTCACTGAAACTTTTCCGCCCAAACTCTACGAAACGACTGTAAATGACCAGAATGCGGTAACCATGAAGTCCTCTCCGTCAACGCAATTGCAGAACGGTATTCTTGAAGTTGCAGTTAAATGCACAACGAATGAAACCTGTTCTACCGTGACACCATCTGAATCTAATAAATGCAACGATAAATCGATTAATGCAATTCGCATGAGAAACATGATGGCCATCGTAAGATTCATGATGAAACTGCTGAGGATCATCGCGGAGGATGAAGAGCCGCCTTGTCCTATACAGTAAAAAACATTACGTATTTGTTTTGGAAACGGTCCACTCGAGTTCTTTGCTAAACTTTTGTGTTGAATTTTTTAACATATTCGAGTGTTAATTTAACATAATGTGATTATGTTATTTAAATAGTTTGTGTTGAATTTATATTCAACATTTCTTAGTTCTCAAAATAACACAATTTATAAATAAGAAAACAAATCACATAAAAATAATATATTTTAAGATGTAAATTTTAAGATGAAAATATGTTAATTTAACTATATCATAAATATTAACTTTACTGAAGAAATTATGCTTCCACGATTTGTTTACAAACTGTGTCAGTATTATCTTTTTTTATGTTTAATCTTTTTAAATAATATTTGTGTTACTTTTTAACATATTCATCTTGTGTCAAATTAACACATAAATTTGAGTGGATCATTTGGGAAATGTGTTAAATTTAACACTTTTCCAATGATGTAGAACTCAAATCGGCGAGACGGTGATTCACGTGAAGAATATTATTAATGTCCCAAGTCACGTGGAACGGCAGAAAAGTGCTACTGATAAAACGGTAATAAAATCAGGAAGAACGAGACAGGATCTTCTGACCACTGAGTGGCGATCGACAATTACGGAAAGGATACGCGAGGAATCATCGCCTTTGGGTGACAGTACTTTTGAGTCCTTTACT